CTATAAATCACGATTGAAATACTGTTTTTAAAGAGAGAAAATTACAATGAGGTATCAAGGAAAAAAATAATTATTAAAAAGTCCTAATAACAATCTAAGGAGCCTATAATGACAAATTTCAGAATAGAAAATGATACTCCTCCGGTCCTAATTATAAGACCCAATTGACTTATTTGAGGAGATTAAGGAAGTAAGTTAAGTTGGTTATTTATAATAAATAAGTGTTGTTATTCCTAAAATATCCTTGCTAATTAAGTATATTGGCTAAAACTATCATTATTAGAAAGATTATCTTGGAAAAAAATGCATAAATATAAGAGAAAAAATGGATTGGGTCTTATAATTAGGACCAAATAAAAGTCAAATTGGGTCTTATAATAAGGACCGGAGGAGTAACTTTTAAGATTTATTTTGTAATTATTTTTATTTGAAATCTTATTATAATTCTCCTTTTAAAGAATCCCACTACTAATTCAAATAAGCTCTACGAAATGGTAAAACTTGAATTTCCATTTATATTATTATGAGTTACGTAAACATGCCCCCCCCCCCTTTTACCCTTATTCTGAAGATGACAATCTAGATTGCAATGGCCTAGCCTAATAGCCCCACCACTGCTCTCCGAAGGTGGCCACACGCCTGTAATCTTTCAATCTGGGCTTCAGCTTTTTCACATCAGTTTTTGTCCCAACTAGACTCTAATATGACTTATAGGGCCCCGACGAACATTAACGTCCAAATATGTCAACGGTAACATGTACTACCTCCGGTCGTAATTAGAACCAGAGGTAGTATTTTAAACTTTATCCTAATTATTGTCAAGTTACCATAGACTATAGAAGTCCTCTTGACATGCCTCATTTTTGTTTCTGACGGTATTCTTTTGATTCTTTACAACTCCAGGACAAGTCACAGCCTACTTTCATCTCTAAGTGTCGAAGTCAAGAATCATGACCAATTATGCATTATAATTTGTCTCTGTTTTTTTTTTAGCCATTCTTAATTGTGATATCACTCATTCTGATAAAGAAGTTTCCTATTGTGTTGCATGCTAACATATGAAGCTCACAAGCTACCCTAAACCTCCTTTATCAATTAAGACCTTAAATTCCGAAAAGAAACACATCCTTACTTCCTAACTTAAAAATGGAATTATACAGAGTATTCTGTTGATTTATGCCCATCAGCAAAATGGATCATGTTAGAAGAGTAAGGAGATAAAAATTATATGTATTATGGAATGAGATGATTAAATCAATATATACAAGAGAAAGGAATAATAAATCCCAATAAAAGACAATAAATCAAGAGATAAATATAAATCAAATCATGTCAATAAAATATACCAATAGTTCCATTGCAAGGAAGCACAGACATAACATGAGGTTATCAATACATGATTATCTCTCTTGTTTCTTGTTATTGGCTAGCTACTGCTCCATTTGATACTGCCATTGGGGGGGGGGGGGAATCATGTTACATTTCCCAAAAAAATAGTGGATTTTGCTTGGTATCCGCTTCTTAGTCCTTATATAACAAACACATACTTTCATAGGCAAAGCACAAGACAACCATGGAGTACAAAAACCTGTCACTCATCTATCTGATTCTAAATTATTCTTGCGATATATTTAAATTACTTATCAATGAAAAAACACAATCAACTAAATTTGAGACATTTAACTAATTTTAAATGCTGAAGAAGGAAGATGCGAAGAGAGGGAGAGAGGAATGAGTGTTGAGTATACCACAAGGCTGAGCGATCTAACCAACTCCAGGAGAGGAGCAATGGAGACAAGCTAGTCGTGACCAAAGTGAATGACGCTAAGGTGACTCCCAACTTGTGAGCGATGCCGTGCGACAGTAATGAGGGGCTAAGTGTGAATGTCGCTGGTGAGCGGCCAACGGTGATGCCACTGCTATTAGAGAGTAAGGGACTGTTTGCTTTCACCTTTCAATGGGAGAAAAGCAGCTTATTTGGCCAGAACGCGAAATGGTGCAATATGACTGAAATTGGAAGCGTTTGTAATGACGGTGGAGCAATTTAACTTTTGGGTGAAAAGCCACAATAACTGACAAACAAAAATTTGAAGCTCACGGCTTTTGAAAAGTGGAGAAGATTAAAAGAAAAAAACTTGGATCCCACCTTTAAAGAAATTTATCTTAAATCACATCTTTCTATCTTACTCATATCCAAATTTATACTCTTTCTAGTTCGAAACATAATTATCAAATTTTTCATATTAATATAATATATAGATATATATATACTAATTCTTAATATAAGAACTAGATAACTAATTTGTAAATATAAAAAAATTAAGTTAATTACCTATAATAAATAGATGTTGTCTTCTTTAAAATATCTCATAAATCAGGTGCATTGAAGCTACCCTTGATGAAATCTCATTAACATGTGTAATTAGCATAGGGATTATTTAAGGCAAAATGAATAAATATAAGATAAAATAGATTGTGGTCTTATAAGTCTCTAAGTAGCTCTTATATTAAGAACCAGGGGTAGTATTATTTAATAAAATCCATGTCATTTCCAATCATTCATGTCCTTTTCAGTCATTTTATAACTAAACTTGATTTTCCAATAATAATCCAAACAACTTACTTTTATAAAATTGCTTATTTACAAAAGTTATTTCAAACACAAATCACATCACCTAATTTAATTTTTCTAAAAGTCAAATTAAAAATAAGGTAATTTTTCTACCACTAATCCAAACAGTCATTAAAGAATATGAGGGCTTTACGGTGTAATGTTTGAGGTGAAGGACTAAGGGTGAGCCGTGAATGAAACACCAAAGTGAAGAGTAAAGGGAAACGACAGCATATAAGTGAGAGTGAGAGACCATTAAAATTTTATTTATTATATAAAAAATAATTATCACCCTCAGGTTAGACCACACCAAGTAGTTTGATGCCTTGGTCTGAAGTCCACTCTAACCCGACTAATCAGTCTGGTCCAATGGGTCTAATCATCTCATTATATTCTTCCGGTTCTTAATATAAGACATATTTAACTAATTTGATTAAATTAAAGAAGTTAGGTAAGTTAGTTAATTACAAAAAAATAACATGTTTTTCTTAAAAGACCATAATCATCTTTCTTAATATTCTTCCTTCCTCTTTTACTTGATTACAGTTGAAGGAGTATTGATAAATATGAGAAATAGGTCTTATATTTAGAACCAAAATCAATTCAATAATTAAGTTCTATATTAAGGATTAGAGGAGTATTACAATTTTGCTGGATTGGATAGGATCAGACTAGACTAACTCGTGTTAGGCCAAAGCAACAGGCTTTTGAACAGCATAGAAGGCGATACAAGTGCTTCTCCCCTTCTGTGCAAATCCACACTTCTAGAGATTTTCATTTTATGAACTTATTTTGACTTCGCATATTTGGGGGGTGGGTGAACTGTGAAGGACGCTTTTTTTCCTTTTGACATCGTGAAGTACGCATCCTTTATAGAGAATTCAACTTCTTTTTTCCACAGCAATTTTGAGTGATACCGAACATGGTTAACACGCTACCAATTGAAACCCCAATTGGATGGTGACAATTTCCAATGTTTTCGAAGTCTCATAAATTACAGTGGGCGAAGCTTAATTTCAATACTTAGTGAAGATGAAAAAGAAATGAGTTTAGATGAAAAAAAGAGTTTGGGTGCTTATTAAAATGATGAGCACCTTAAACTCATCAAATTTGATTAGTTCAAATCTGAAAATCAAATTTGTTTTTTATTTTTATTTTTTAAAAAATAATTATTTTAATAAGAATAAAATTTAAAATAAAAATAATATTGTAATTATTATTTTAAAAAAAATATTTTTTATTTAAACATAATTTACTAAAAATTTTAAATGTAGACCATTTAAATCAAATCTAAATAATCCAAATCTATTCAGTTTGTACCGGCCAAGAAACCTAGCTTTCCTATCATGACATGTGAACCCCACGCTAATGATTATAAGATATACTTTTAACAGGTAAGTCCTTTTTTTTTTTTTTCAACCTTGATTTTAACCGGTGAGTCTAAGCTCCATTGTTTATCATCTATAAAATGACACCAATAAATTTCCCAAAGCTCAATCCAGCTTTTGCAAATTAAAAGCGATGCTTATTTTGTAATAACTTGAGAATCATACATAGAGCCAGGAAATCAGGCTTAAAAAAATACATAGAATCAAAAAAACAAGTCAAACCTATCAGGACAACCCATTTAAGCTCAAAAATTATGAGAATTGGGTTTAAAATTTTTTCCTTAAAAAAAAAAGCTTAAAAAAGTTGACCTTATAGGAATAAAAGCTTAAACAAGCTAACCTTACAAGGCCGATGACCAACCCGTTTAAGTTTTTATATATAATTTTTGTTTTTTTAATTTTTTATATAATTTACATTGTTAATGATATTTCAAATATTTATTTATTATTATCATTTTAGACAATAATTTGTTCAATTAAATTTTTTTAAAAAATATGTTAATTTAGTCTTTAATAATAATTTGATTTATATTCTGTGTCGATATTTTTAAACTCTATATATATATTTTATAAGAGAGCATTTTTATACTTATATAACTTATGATTCTATAATTTGAATTAAAAATTTATAAGTTTCAACAATAATATATCTCAAATTAAAGTAAAATAATAACTAGACTGCAAAATTTAAAAATAAAATTTCTATGAACAAAAAAAACTTGATATTTTTACCACTAAAAAAACACAATTGATGATAGTCATAAGAAAGTTTCAAAAAATTGATAATATTTCTCTATTGCACATTTGCATCATTTATGAAACTTTTTAATAATATTATCCTATTGATGGATATTTTAAATGATCTTGGATGTTGATATTTAGATATGATGATGTTTTGTGTTTATGACTTAATTTTACCCATATTTATATTTTTTATTAATAATTTCATTGCTTTATTTTTATTATTTTTGATAAAACATATAAAAAATATAAAAATTATATTTTTTAAAACAGGCTAAAAGCCCGCAGGCCAGTTTTGAGCCTGCCAGTTTAAAAGTTGAGTCAAGCAAAACAAGATATTTCTAAAATTTTAGGCCTATAGGACCGCATTGTAGGAGGGGCTGACCCATATCCCCGATTCTAAATTCATACATATACATCCGTCACTACTTAATAGTGGGATCTAAGCAATTATTTGACCTATAAAAATCATAACTACAAGAAAAACGGGGGGAAATGAGAGTGAATAGGTAAAGAAAAGCTACGAGACTCTAATTCCGCTAGGACGCTTGCCTTCCATGGCGTCCTTCTTGATGCGACAATCAGCGCAAAGAAAAGGGCCTTGCCAAGGCTTAGTGGTGGTAGAGAAAATGGAGCCAGCATGAACAGATATGCTTTCACTTGAAGCAATATCGTTCTGGCACACTGCGCACACAAAAATCCCAGAGGTTGATTCCCCTGAATTCCCTTCGTTCCCTAATCTGCAACATTTGCTCAAATTTTCATATTTATGAAATAACAATGAAAAAGATGTGCGTGAAAAAAGAAGATATATGAAAAGAGTCAAAGAACAATAGACAAAACCTAATTGAACTTATTTAAGCGTTTACTAGTAGGCTGTATAATGAAAATGTAATTCATGGAGGAATAGTTTTCAGACCAGTAAATCACGTGATGAACATCTAATATGTCATGTTCAGATATCAAGTTTTTTGTTGAAAAACTTGATAGCAAATATCTGACAAGAGTTCAATGGAAATCTGGGAAAATTAGAAGAACATAGTCAGGCGTAGTTGTTGGGCGAATAAAATCATAATACTCTCATCAAATTGCAATTTCAGAACATTCTGACATCTGAGATTAGCTTGCAAGTTGCAGAGCTATAACAGGAATAGAATCCAAAGTAGGACTAAGTGGAAGAAGAATCCATGCATACTCAATTATTTATCAAACGTAACATGCTTAGGCTTACACGAGAACGCACGGTTCAGTGATAAAAATATGAGGCCCTATAAAAGAGAGAAGATAAAGGCCCTTTGCAAGTTTTCTATTTCAAAAGTTTATAATCCGCATGTTAAAATCACACCTAAAATCCAGCTCTAATTCGAAACTGCTCAAAAATTGGGGCGACTTCCTCTCTCTCTCTCTCTCTCTCTGTTCCTTTGAAAAGATCATCCTCTTCCTTTTATCTGTCTCTCTTCTTTTTCCTTATCTCAAACTTCAAGCAAATGTTAGCCATCACTTTTAACAGCATAAAATCTCACGGGGCAAACAGATGTTTGAAGAAGGAAACCATGATGCGAGTCATTGTCATGAGATTCGTATGATCCCTCCAAAAATTAAAATTTTTCCCTCAAAGAATGCGAGATTACCTTTCAGCGAGCATTGCTGATCCTTCTTCAAACAATTCCTCTACTATATTAACAGCTGCAAGCCTCTTTGACAGCTTACTAGCAGGATCACTGGATTTCTTCCTGAACAGTAAAGCTCTCAATTTACTCTGCTTTTTGGGGGGAGGAGGCGGTGGCACTCCAGTATCAGGAGGAATTATGTCAACTACTATGCAAGTTGTATCGTCCCTTAAACCTCTTGTCCTTAATGCTTCCTGAATGACAAGGGAAATAATTACAGGCTTAAGCATATATGAATATGAGCACAAATGTCAGATATGTTCAACATGAATCTTAAGTCAAACCTCAGGCTAAAAGAAACATTGGCTTGATAAAAATTAGCAGAAAGCATTTTGAAGCACGTTACCTTCACAACCTGCCTAGCAGCAAGTTCAGCAGGCAAACCCCGACAAGATTTTGCAGCCATTTCTGAGGATAGAGCATCCCAGATGCCATCCGAAGCAATTATAAGCCTCCCACCAGCATTTGACAGCTATAATATAGGAGTAGTGTCAGGTTTCATCCTGAAGACAGACCTAACAGCACGCGTAGGTTTAAGAAACAAAGCTTGAAAGTAGAAGATATTATCTCCAAATAATGATACCTTCACTTGTTTGACATACGGTATTGGAACTATAAACTCCCCTACATCCACATCTCCAATTGACCGAGAAAGGCACAGACCCCCTGGCCAGCAACGAAGAGGACCAATCTGAAATGATTCAGAAACACTAGCTTCAAAAAGATAATGATTGGATATGCAAGATATGAAGTACTTAACATGGAAGAGGAAAAGAGAGAGAAAGAAGATAAGAGGATAAGCCAAAAAAAAAAAAAAAAGCAAAGAAAAAGAAAAATGATTGAGTTCTCTCTTCCTTTTGTTTTTTTTTTTTTTCAGTTTTTAGAAGCAAAAGGGGATATTAAGATAATATGTTCCCACCTCAGCACCACCGCAAATACTAAGCCTTCCAACTTCACCTCCACTTGCAGTAATACGTTCTCTCCTGCAAATACAGACAGTGCAAGTGATTACCATGCGCACACAGAACAAAATAACCAAGTAAGGCCGAGAGATAAAATCATACTCTTCAATATTCTCTTCAAGTCTGTGATCAACAGTTAAGTTAGTAATAGGGCCACCTTGGGCGTCTAGTATGCAACGGGAATCTCCAACAGATGCTACCGTCACAGTCCATCTATCAACTATCACAAATGTTGCTGTAGTGCCAGAAGTTTCTCCTGGAGGAAACCAGATAGGACACAAAATTAGATAAGAATAATCTAATGCCAGGTCTTCCTGTTCCATATTTCATTTCCCTCCGTCATCAAGGGGAGGGAGGAAAGGGAATAAGGGCCATAACTCCACACCTCTGCTCTGAAACTCCTTGTCAGTCTTCACAAACCCAGCAACCAATGCCCTAGGTAATGCCTGAAGCCACTCCTCTCTTCCAATACGTTGAGGAAGGGCACTCAAAATGTGATTTAACAAATTTTCTCTGCTAAAAATTGCTGCAGCATTTCCATTGTGACCATCAAAGATCTGCAAAAATGGAATACATTAGCAACCATCTCAAAAGATGATGTCCTTTTCCTTAACAAATATTCACTTTGGCACACAAATCAAATCTACGATCTGAACATTTGTCCCTACACTCTCGAGTCAAAAGATATATGAATTTTCCACTCATACAAACCAGAACCGAAAAACCAGTAATCCTCAAACTGGCAGTTGCTCTTTCACACAGAACATGTGGCAAAAAAAAATATAAGACAGAAATGGAGAAAATACCGCATATACAGAAAATGGTGATGAAGAACTTCCAGGTATTCGCTGACAATCAGTCTTTATTAAAAAGTAATCTTCCCCTTTCTTAGACTGTGCAGCATGTCCATATCTCACTGTGGGCTTCTCCATCTTCTCACTCTTCATCTCCCTGCTTATCAATGCAGCAAGAGGCACAAGATTATGATGATGACGCCTCCCTCCACCAGACGCCATATCTTGGCCACCAAAACCTTTTTCTCAGACCGAGATCTCAAATTTAGTAAGCTCTCTTTCTCACAACCATATTTGAACTCCAAAGGAGGACACTACAGCACACTACACAAAGAAATCAGCAAGGTCGTTCCACCCAGTAATTTGCAGAAAAACAAAAAAACGAAACTGGCTTCAGATCAACTTCATCCAACTTGATCTGCACTCATCAGGAACGAAGTTGTCAAGCTAGGATCGATCCATTACAAACTGATCTCCAGCAATAATTAGGCTAAAGTAAAACCAAACTGATAAAGCATACTAGACTACAAGTGTAACAACAATTTGTTTCATCAAACTTTGCCTTCGACCGAACTTTATGGGAAATGACATTTGAAGTTCCAAGGTCATCACTACTTATTTTAATTTCGAGAAAGAAGAAACTTGAGGTTTGTGACATGGTTTTTAAAGCAGCCAAACAGAGTAAAAATTCCCAACAAAAGAATTAATGTAGCTGAATTACCCGTGAGAATGTCTGGCTGCGTGCCCCGCAAAACAAGATGCAGATCGGACTGCGAAGTAAGCAAATACACAGAGGAGAAGAACGGAAGATATCAACTCAGATACGATACGCGTACTGATGACAAGGTATGAACTGTAAACCCAATAATCTAAACCGAAACCTTCGATTAAAAAAAGCTAATTTCTTGGGATGGATTAAGAATTAAGAAATTGGGGATAGTTAAAAAAGGCATTAAAATATTTCAGGACCAACCCAGGTCAGCTTCTGAACAAATTTTCCTCGCCAAGCACCTGTACAGAGATGCTCTTAAATTATGTATTCTATTTTCCAACCAGAAAGGATAACACAAAGCACATGCCAAGGGAGCTTGGTGTCAAGCTAGCCTCCATACATTTGAGGGAAAGAGGAGAGACAAAGTGGCTTTGCTGACTATGAAGCCTACCGTCCCTAGAAAAGATCGCACATTCAGTTTCTGATAAAAGTTGGGATCACAAACCTTTTTTTCTCTGATTCCTTTTGCCGGAGGAAAAAGTCAACACAATTTTCTTCCATCACAGAAAATTTACGTAAGAACTAACAAACGGCAACAAATTTAATCGGTGATTCGGGCAAAATATGTACTTATTGTTCTGGTGCGCTTGTCCCTGGGTAAGAAAATTGCATCGTCATTTTCCGGACGCATCACATATATATATTTGCTTCGGTCTTTGGACCTAAATCTCAATGAAACTTCTATCTTTTTTCTGCTAGATTCCTCTTCCACCTTTATTATTTTTTCAAAAAAGTTAATATAATCTTTTGATCCGTCAAATTTGTTATTATTTTTGTTTTAATCCCTTAAATTTTAAATTATAGGTTTTAGTCCTTCACGAAGTAAAATGATCCAAGTTTTTACTAGATTGTAAAGACCAATGTTTTAAATGAAAAGGAACTTAAGAAACTAAAATCTATGGTTTGAAACTTGAGGAACCAATAACTAACAAAACAAAAAATAAAAGTATATGAGACAAGCGAGGGACGAAATGCGAGAATGTTAGAGCGAGAGAGTGAAACAGAGAGTGAGGGTGTGCAACAGAGGTTTCTGATCAATCAAAGGAAACCTCCTGACGGAGGGAAGGAGCATCGATGGGAGGATGAACCAATACTGGAGAAGGGAAGTTCCTATCCCAGAACAGGGGGCAAACAGATAGAGATGTTAAAATGGATGAAACTGAAGGGTCTAAGAACCAGTATGAGAACCCACAACCCCAAGAAAACGCCAAATAGGGAGGAAAGTCTCAAATCTCTTACAAAAGTAAACTCCTGGGGCAAAATGAAGAGGAGATGGATAGAGACTTGGAAGAAGAGATGGATAGAGACTTGGAAGAACAAATGAAAGAATGGAGGAGGAAGAAGAGGTCACGCCTTCTCTAACTGATGAGGAAAAAGACTAATGGACTCACTACCAAAACTAAATATGGACGATGCAAGGTTGCGAGAACTTTGTTGGCCTTGGAAGGATGCACTTATTCTCACTGTTCTAGGAGGAGTTGCTAATCTGAAAGGTATGAGGGACAGAATTTGGTGGCTTTTCAGAACAAAAAACTTTGAACTGATTGATTTACCCAATAACTATTTTGTGCTCCGATCCGAAGATAAAAGCTTATGCCGTAAACTGATGCTTGATGGTCATTGGCTGTATCAGGGACGCTATATAGCAATGCAAAGATGGAGTCCAAATTTTAATCCCTACTGGAATAAGGTGAGGAAAGTAGCGATTTGGATTAGAGTACCTACATTGCCAATGCATTGTTATTCAGAAGAATGTATGTGGGAATTAAGCAACATGATTGGGAAAGCTCTGAAAGCTGACATGAATACGCTTGCCCAGTCAAACAGCAATAACAGTCATACAGTGGAACGAGGCAAGTTTACAAGGGTCAGTGTAGAGGTTGATCTGAATAAAAAACTCCAGTCCAGATTTGTCATTCGGAGAACCATCTATACGGTCGAGTATGAAGGACTAGATGTGATATGCTTCAAGTGTGGGTTATATGGTCACAGCCAGGAGAGATGCCCCTTGAATGGTGAGAAGGGGCAGGAATCGACGGAGAAGAGAGATTCCGCCATAAAAGTCGATCAACCGGAGAACTTCAACAAGGAAAAGAACAACCTGTTCAGTGTGCCAGGGGTAACCTCTGCTGAACCGTACAGTCCATGGATGAAAGCAACAAAAACTTTCAAAGCTAGGTACCCAAGAACGGAGGTAGAAGGGAGAAGTCAGGAAAAAGTGGGTACTACTAGCAGACCTATGGCAAAAGAGCAGAAGACTAAGCTGGGGTCAAGATATGATGTGTTGCACAATTTAGGGGAGCCAGTCACATTAACAAATCAAGCTACAGGACTCAAAACAAAAGAAAAGGAAATGATAAAGGAATGGAAAAAGAAAGTTGTCAAAGAGGATATACCAAAAGGTAAAGAGAACGCTGGAAAGAAAGAGAAACAGGTTGATGAGACATCATTAGGGTCTGAGCAAAGATTAAAAGGGAAGCAGAAGCAAGGAGAGATGACGTCGGATGTTGATGGAAGGAGGAAGACGTTGAATGAACATAGGAAAAGCCAGGAAAATAGGGAGAATATAAATAATGATGTTGTGGGCCTTGAGATAAGCCCAGTTTCAAATGGACCAAGTGGAGTGTTAGGAGGACAGAATAGGAAGAAAACAGAGAGCAAAAAGAGGGGGCAAGCCACGAGGCCCAAGATCGTCTCACCAGTACTCAAGAGGAAACCAGCATCCACGAGAGCCCACCAGGTGGTTTTTAGGTCACTTTTGCACACTGGACCACTTGACTTCAACCAAGTCAATTTCTCAATGTTGTCCAAAGAGGGTCCAGTAAAGGAAAATATGAAACCAGGTTCGGGCATAGACAAAACGAAGGTGCATGATCACCACGTACCGGAAAAAATACTGTCTTCATACCCTACAATGAGACCGAATACGGAGCTTCTGATAGGCTTTGGAAATCAGGAAAAAGATACAGGGGAAGGGAATGATTGTTGGTACGAAACGCAAGATGATGTCAAGGAGGCGGAAGAGGATGATGAGAAATTGACCAATGTCGGCCCAAAACTGTAAGAAGGTACTGCTCAGTCCTCCCTTTTGTTAACTTCTGTTTTAATAATGAATTTGATGGCTTGGAATTGCCACGGAGCGGCCTTAAAATTATTTCCTGGTATTGTCCGGGATTTGACAAAAGGGAGGAATGTGAATATTCTAGTCCTGATAGAAACTCTTATCAATGGTGTGAAAGCTGACAAAATCATTAGATGTCTAGGCTATAATAGATGGATCAGACTTGAGGCTACTGGATTTGCAGGGGGTATTTGGGTTCTTTGGCAGGAGGAAGACTTTACAATTTGCTACATTGCTTCCTCTACCGAATTTCTCCACCTTGGAGTGGTAGGCAGCGATTCACAACAGGAACTTTATATTACCTGTGTTTATGTTGAACCTTGTGGTATTCTTTGAAATTTTCTCTAGGAAGACTTGATGACTTTGAGCACAAATACATCTAGTCTATGGTTGGTTATAGGAGATTTTAACACTTACTTATCTAGTGAAGACAAAAAAGGTGATGCTGCTCCAAATTTTATATCAATGCAAACCTTTAATAATTGTATTCATGATTCTAGTTTGATAGAGTTAGACACGGTGGGGGACAAATTCACTTGGGAAAGGAATAATATCAAAGAAAAAATTGACTAGGCCTTTGGGAATGAAGATTGGAATCTGTTATTTCTTGAAGGGAAAACACACCACCTGAGTAGATATGGATCCGACCATAGGCTGTTGCTCCTAAAGTGTAGACTGGACCATGACATGCAGAGAAAAAAACCTCCCTTCAGATGTAATACGGCTTGGTTACTAGAGGAGGGATTTGTTGATGTTGTGAAGAGGGCCTGGGAAAAAGTAGATTAGACAAATAAAGTTCAGTAGTTTGCAAAGGAAGCCAGAGACTGGAATAGAATAAAGATCGGTAACCTGCCAGCTAAGAAAAAGGCTCTCCTGAGAAGAATTGAGGGCATTGATAGAGCCAGAACCAGAAGAGACAATCAATATTTAGTTCAGCTGGAGAAAGAACTATGGAATGAGTACCATAAAGTCCTGGCACAAGAGGAATTGATATGGTTTCAAAAGTCATGATGCAATTGGCTACAGTGGGGGAATAGGAATAGCAAGTATTTTCATGCTTCAGCCATCATTAGAAAACGAAAGAATAGAATTGAGGGTCTCAAAAATGAAGACGGAGAGTGGTGTTTTAATCAAGAGGAGTTGAAGGCTAGGGTGATGGAGTACTACAGAGACCTGTTCTGAAGCAATAGAACTGATGGTGTTTGGTTAAGGACTAATAATGGCTTTCCTAGCATATCTCTACAAGACTCCCTACAGTTGTCTGTAGAGGTTACAAATGAAGAAATTAAGCAAGCCTTTTTGATCTGGGTGCTTTTAAAGCCCCGGGACCAGATGGGATTCAAGCCTTTTTTTTACCATAAATATTGGCAGGTAATCGGTGACTCTCTATGTGAGCTGGTCAAGGGCATTTTTCAAGAACCGTCCAGAGTAAAGAAACTAAATAACACCAACATTGTCCTTATTCCAAAAAATGACCAGCCAGAAACGATGAAGGATTTTAGACCCATTTCATTGTGAAATGTGAGCTATAAAGTAGTGACCAAAATAATCAGTAGAAGATTGAAAGGGTTCATGAACAAGGTTGTGGGACAACATCAATGCAGCTTTATTAAGGGTAGGCAAAGCAGTGATAATATTATTATTGCACAAGAAGTGATCCATTCAATGAGATTGAAGAAAGGGAATAAGGGATGGCTTGCAATTAAGGTAGACTTGGAGAAAGTTACAATAGACTTGAGTGGCATTTCATTGAAGAAACTTTGCAGGCTATTGGTGTGCAGGGGAGAATGTGTGACCTAATTATGGCTTGTATATCTAGCTCCTCTTTTCAAGTGATGTGGAATGGAGAACAAACAGCTTCTTTCCATCCGTCTCGAGGCATAAGACAGGGAGACCTGATATCCCCCTACATTTTCACTTTATGTATGGAACTGCTGAACCACATAATTTGGGATGTAGTGGAAGAAGGTAGATGGAAACCAATTCAAATAAATGTGGGAGGCCCAAAGATCTCTCACCTGTTTTTTGCATACGACCTTATTCTCTTTGAGGAGGCTTCAGGCTCTCAAGTGGAAACTATGCTCAATTGCTTGAATGGCTTTTGTCAAGCTTCGGGTCAGAAAATGAACTTCACAAAGACTAAGATATGCTTTTCTAAGAATGTGCACATTATAAGAGAGTTGGAATTGAGCAGGA